ATAGGAACTGACGTACATAACTAGAAACCGCAGTTACTAATCAATATCTCATTCTAGGTGGGCCTCGGCTTCAGTAGCGTGAAGTAAAACTGTAGCATGGGCACGTTTCCTTTCCACAAAGCCTGACACAAGGAAAATAGGCTAGAGACTCTGTCCAGCTGCAGTTCAAATAGAAACCTATATCAGAGCGTGGCACACTCCAAGAGCCTTTACTCTGGCTGGCATCCTTGTTTTATGGCAACAATAAAAATGCTATGGTTTGCTGTCCACAGCCAGGGTTTATTGCCCGTACAAAGTCATTAAATATTAATCAGATTTAAAAATCGCAAATAGACGTGTTGATGGTTTTTAAATAGCAAGCCGTTAGGAGTGTGGCGACACTAAGCTCCGCTATGTTGTGAAGCGGAGATTCATTAGTAAATCAATAGACCTCACATGCATTGCCCCTCTTGTTCCAACAAGCGAAGCCAACAAGCAACACACAGCAACCCTCAGCGGTAAGAACTCACTCCTCGATGGCCGCCTCATGCCTCGCGGTGACACAACCACAGTAACAGTTACTCTAGTTTATTTAGAAGGACGATTATTGAACAATGAATTGGAAAGGATGTGGCAGGAAGCGATCGCGCTCTGATTTGATGCAGTATCCTGGCATTTGCCTGCAGATGCTGAGAGAAAAACACGAAAAATATCAGTCAGGACGGCGGTTATGACTTTCTTGGTTTTCCTCAGTCTATACAGAAGAATGTCAGGATAGTAGTAGCAGGTTAAGGCGGGCTCCTTCCAGACCCTTACCTACTTATCATTAACAACAATATTCTTTTCTCTTTACTGAATATTCAGACGAACCTGCATTCTGTATCTTGTGTCAGTTTCTGCTCGATTTATAGAGGTCTACAGAAACGAGGCAGGGACGTTAAGACACTGAATGTACACTCTGTGCAACTAAAATGAAGTACATTGGAATTACGACGCCAGCTGTACGCTTTCCGGTTTCTAACGCTTGATTTTTGCTGCTCAGAGTGTACAAGCCAATTTACTAAGCAAATGCTTCACCCAACATATGAAGACAGTGGCAATGAGACAGGATACAACTATTATTTACTTGGGCTTCTCGTACAGTCACACGCAATGCACGGGCTAAATATTTTGTTTGCATGGATCTATCTGCATCTCGAATCACATACGTAAATACCAGGGCTTATAATTGATGATTATTGAATCAGACGATACTTCACATTTCAGAGGTCCCAGGTTCGAATCGTGGCCTGGAGACCGGCAGTCTTGAGAGGTTTTGTGTTATTTTGTTGTACTTTAAAATAGCTTGTAAATGGTTCCTGACAAGTTCATTGCGATGTCGCCATCTTATTCGGTGCCAGGTCCATGAATTCTTATGACTATGTGTTAATGTTCCTCATAGTTTAGCGCACTATTAATCGACAGTTTCGTATACAAATTATGGAAAAACTGACTCATCCATTCATATGTTCGAATCTCGCATATTGCATGGATGTGTGCGTATTTCATACTTGCCAATTCATGCCCGGCAATTTCTTTGTTGTTTGGTTGGATTCAGATTTCTGTATTTGTGCCAGTTGTCTTAAACATTTTTTAAAAAAACCTCAAACCCCCCCCCCCCCCAATTTTAAGTGTTTCGCCTTGTAGTAGCTCCTCACGGTTACGGCTTAACAGAAAATGATATTTTGTAACAATAATTTGTGATTGGGTAACCATGTATGTTGAAATCGCAAACTACTCACTTTTAATAGAGGAGATTCATGCAGCCAAATTTCGATCAAAATTCAGTTCTGTTAGTTCGCTGCACAGCTCTGTGGCTAGGCGCTGCCACTTCACAAATACATTAATAATGGATGTAGATAAGAGAATATCCCCTATCTTACCAGTTGTACTACACAACGATCCCACTTTATTTGAGACCACTTTGATATTCCTGAGAGCCGTTGTGTTTGCGAAACATGTGATAACATTCAGCTATCCTTTTCAGTCTGTCTTTTCACTTCATATAGAAAGACAAGCCTACAGTATCAAATTATCCATGTATCTGTGTGCCTGTCCTACAGATATATGAACTAATTTATGGACATTCATGAAACTTAGTATGAGCATAATGCCACTACAGACAATTCCCTACTATGAATAATACTAAGGGTTAATTTGAACATCATTTGAAATAGTTTCAATAAGGTGAGGAAAATGAATTTTATAATCTAATATCTATAATTTTCTGTCTAATGATGCCCAAGACACGTGAAATCGTCGTCAGCGATCGACATCCACGTAACACTATGTACTGCTCTTAACTTCGAATGATAACATAGGCATCTGTACTTTTGTCGTTGTTGTTTGTTCTTGTTATCTAAAACGCCATGTTTTTGTGAACTTTGTAACTCACTTTTGTGACCCTTCGACATGTTATGTTTTGTGTCTCAGCAAATGTTTTCATTTAAATACATGATAGTATGACGTGATTAACCTTCCATTACATTACATGTTTGTTGTTTCTAAAGGTTACTTAACGAGATAATATGTGACATAACCCCATAACAGAAGTCTACGCTGTTTATATACTACCATGGCCGTTTATAATTTCTTTCCTTGGACATAAAAGAATAAATTGCAGGTTTCTCTGATAGAGTTATCTCGATAGTGACAAGGAAAGGGGTTAAATAATTTAAAACTGATCGCTCAACAATGTCAAATAACTTTCGTACAAATTTATTCCACTCGTATAATCACAAAGATAACAATATGATGACGGCGATACAGGCATATATGTTTGTTGCACTGATAAGCTTTAATAATATCGACTGAAACAAAGTAAATCGTCAAATTTAAGTACGGTTATAAGGCTGTATGTCGATGATGCAGTAATTTGTGATAAGGTAGATCATCATGTAATTGTTAATGTTGACTACCTGTCTAAGGTCTTTCGGTACATACATACAGGCTGAAGATTTATTAGCCCTAAATCCCACGAAACGAAGCGAATGAAGATGAAAATTGGAGTAGGCTTACATGTGGTCCCTTATAAACGTAATATTGCCACCTGGCCGTGCTGTCTTAACGCGTTTGCAGTAAAATCAATAATCCGTGATGAATGCGGTATCTTTTGAACAAGGAAATGGAATGATACTATTATGTTGCACACGTTATTTAAATGAATGAAAATATAAGAGAGACCTAAGTTTACAATAAATTACAGGCATCTAAAATTTCACTTTCACCACACAATCTGTCGTTGTCTGAGCGAAAATGTAGGCTACAATGTGTTTTAAAAATCCAGCCCATAAATTCTGATGAAATATGCGTCAGACCAAAAACATTTTGTTACCAACGACAGCAATGAAGTGTTCTCGGGCGATAAGCCGTGTGAAAATGGCAGTGTGGTACAACGTTTCGGAGACTGTCTCTACTTCCATTATGAGGGTCGACATCAACTATGATGATGGAGGCACAGATAGTCTCCGAAACGTTACAACGCCATTTTCACACAGGTTATCGTGAAGGTATCAAATTTTACATACCTGACATTAGTGCTTTGCACACACCATGTAAATATATCCTGAAACAGGATCTCCGAAATAAGCTTCGGTTACACCAGTTTAGGAAATTAGATTCCACAGATTGTTCTTGGGGGGGACCTTAAATTGTTTTTACGGGTCGGCCCAATGGAATCATTGCCTAGGCAACCGAGAATGGAAGCTGTACGCGTTTAGAGGGCACTTCAACTTGAACGTGTGAGTTTGTATCGAACACGGTCTTGGTACTACAGGCGAGAGCAGACGCTGAGCGGGCTCATTGACCCCAGTCACGATAAAGGAGTAAGCTAATAGATAAAGTACTCATGTGTCACGCCATAAAGAAATATGGGAGAGCGGAGTAAAGCTCCACGAACTCATGACCTCGGAATTACACCATACGCGGGTTCGTGGCTCGCAAAATTTTCGAATTCGGAGGAAGTAATTTAACTGAGCTACTAAGGCTTGCCCGCAGTCAGCAAATAAACTTACGTTGAATAATTGGTGAGAATTGTGACATGTGCCACATTTGAACGATCCATTTGGCTGGAAATATAAATACTGTACATAAATGTCACAAAGTTGCTTTCGCAGTTTTAGTTCTGGGTCCTGCGGAGGAGAAAGGAGGGTAACAGGTCTTTGAACTTGCCCCAAGCACAAAAATGTCTGGGAACAAACAACCGTTCACGTGCCAGACACGTCCCTGGATTGCGGGATCTAACTGAACATCGCTATAAATAGACAGGAAACATTTTGTTTTCAAATCTGAACTAATAATGGTAAATAATTGTATGTATCCTTCCACAGTCGTCTGTGTGAGATGGGAAAGCCATAGATAATGATCGGTTTATGGTAAAATAACAAAGTTATGGATGTGAAACCTGGTATCTCACTTTTCCACCAAAGGTGGGCAATTTCTTTACTGGCTGAGCATTCCAGAGTACCCTGCATCTTCTCATCTGCCATGGCGAATGGTAATGAGGCGAGAAACAGAACTGACAACGCCACCATTCCATTCATCATCCAGACAGCAGCTCTGTCACATAGATAACCAATGGTCCTTTTCGGTATATAAGATATAAGTACAATTTAGGGTAAGATTTGAGGTTTTCACAGCGGCAAGTATGAAGATTTCTGTCTTCTGGGTTAACCAACGTTTCAGAGGTCATACTGCCCTGATGACGGAGGCAGTATGACCTCTGAAACGTTGGTTAACGTCTAGCAGACTACACAGCGCAACAACCCAGAAGACAGAAATCTTCACAATTTAGGGTATTGTAAGTTTTAAGCCCAGTCGTGCTACTAGTGACCATATTTGTAAGATGTCAGTTTATACGTTTGAGAAATTTAGTGACAACGATTCGGTACATTAGTTATTATCCTTGCAGCCGCCATGTTATTTTTTTATTTTCCTAAACACATATTACTTCAGTAAAAGTTAGTAATTGTTTGAAAACTCACCCCAAAGTCCCATGATCTTCAGAATCATCTAGAAATGAAAAGAGTGCGTGGATTAGTTAACACGAAACAAGAAACTATTACCAAATAGCACAGATGGAGGGTAAATGCGAACAAGGGTGTTAAGAATATTTGCATCGAACATAAGAGGGAATCAAATAACAGCATAGAGAAAATGACATAATGAGGGGCTTCATAATTTGTTCTCCCTGTGCCAGGTATTACTGATCAACTTATGGATGATGAAAGCAGAGCACGTGGCACTCATGGGAGAAATTCGAAATACATACAAAATTTGAGTCGGAAAATATTGATGGAAGAACGGAACATCTGCAGTTCAAACATCGTTGTTAAATAACTTGAGAACCAATTAACCATCTCCACTAATAATATATGAGTTGGAAGATTTAAATGAAATTGGTTAGGACGGTCACGCCACTGAAGGTCATCCGAATTATAGCCTATCCCTGCCTTGAACGACGGCTACACTGTAGCCACGCGAGATAAAGCGGTTGGCTCCCATTCGGGCAACCAAGAAGTCAGCTGTCCCGCTTCTCCTTCAGCTACATTCCGTACAGAAGCATCAACCATCTCTTCCTTCTCTGGACTCTACTAAGGCAGGATTCACCATAAAATGCCACAGCGAAATTCATAATTTGACTGTACATAAACTCACCAGTTTATAGAGGACGCATGCCATTTTTGCATTTCGTTTAGTGATGCTCTGGCATCGGTCCTCTGAGACCTCTGGGATAGAATGAGCTCAGGGCTCAATGTTAACCACTACGTCGTACAGTAACATGTGACTTTTGTCTCGTAAAATTCTTGATGTGTCAGCATCTTAGCTTTCGGAAAGGAACCTTATATTTAGAAAAACTGATTGCTAATTGATTAATTCTTGAAATATTTAACGACGCCCCTGCAACCATGTAAGACAATTAATGAACAACAAAGAAAACGTCAAGGTACTATTCCAGCATTTGAATATGTTTATGAAAAGCAAGTTCTGGGCACTTTACAAAGAAACGTACTGCTTTGTGTGATGGGGAAAGTGGATTCGGGGAGGGGAACTGGAGGTCGGTGCCCCCTGCCACTTGTAACAAGGACGCCCGTCGCTGGTGTGACCCCATGGCGTGTGTACCTGTCGTAAAGTTAACCCCTGTACGTCTGTTTGATGCAACCCAGCCGACGCCATGACGCCGCTTTGCAATTTACGTAGCTACTACGTACACTGAACGCAAAGAACAACCAGCAGCAAGTCGCCTTAGCCATTCGGTCGGTCCCGGTTCCAGTGCGAAATGTTGTCGCGCCGTCATTGCAGCTCCTAGGTTTTGTCGTCCATGTGGTCTGTAGTTCAGCGTCATTTTTGGATTCGGGTTTCCTTCGTTTTTCCAGCGTGATAACATAATTTTTCCTGGTGTTTATTTAGTGAGATTTCAGCTTCTCAGGGCGTCGAGTATGAAGATGACATCTTCTGGGATGTTGACCAACTTTTAGATGAGCTTACTGACTCCAACATCCCAGAAGACAGTCGTCTTGTGGTATTTACTGATTGTAGACTCCAGCGAGGGTAAACGTAATTCCTGTCTTAATTCCTCATTATGTTTACGTCTCTTTACAAATTCGATAAAAGTTTTCCATGTTATGTATATCAAGCTACGCAGAACGTAGCGAATAGATCCACTCAAAGTTCAGTCTGTGTATGTATCAACAAACTAGCGGCTGGCTTTGAGAATAATAGTTAGCCTTTATTACCCCTTATTGTAAAACCAGTTGTTGCTTATTCGTTATGTGACCTCAAAAACTTGACACTATTCGGCACAGCCGTGAGCCGGGATAGCTCAGTCAGTATAGTGACTAGCTACGGGCTAGACGACCGGGGTTTGATCCCCGACGGGGGCAGAGGATTTTTCCTCTAGCCTCTGCGTCCAGACCGGCTCTGGGGCCCACCCAGCCCCACTCACCCCCATCTAGTGCCGAGGTCAAGGAAGAGAGGAGCTATACCTCCACTCACCCCAAATGCCTTTTTTACTCGGCACAGCCAGGAAGGAAAAACAAGCGATTGAATCTTAACCTTCTGAAGCAAAATAGAGCGAAATGGTTACGAAGGGTAGTATAAGAGCAGGAGCAAAGGAAAATGTAAGAGAAAAATGACAATACACTTTATTTCTGGCGGAACAAGAAGCATTTTATTGTTATTAAGTTCCCAAGCAATGCCCGCTCGTCTTGATAGATTTAAAAGATCAGTCTGGTTAACGCTGTTCCAGTAAATAATATCTGTTCACACAGAACCATTTGAAACCCATAAATACAAAATACAGCTTCACTGATTCTTAAAGCAGATCGTGCATAAGTGACCACTGGTCTTCAATGACAAGCAAGAAACCGAATTAACCCCATCGTTTGGTAAATTAAAATTAGATGACGTCCCTTGCTCCGAGCGTCATCGACCAGCAGAGCTTCACCACGTCAAGTGCTTTATTTCTTACTGAAGGTGGGGGTGTTCATAACGTTCGTGGCCTCGTATATTTTGACATTTTGCCTTGTTGCTTTGTAACACTTGCGCGCAGACGCCATGGTGTTAACAGGGGCGTGGGCGAGAGAAGTGGTTGTGGATAAAGGAGAAGAAAGTGATGGGTGGGAGCTTGGACCAATCCAGAGATCCCTATGGATCTCGGAAAATTGTGTAGAAGTGGCCTTCAACCTGTCGTAACTATAAAACTGAACCTGCTAATAACAGACAGCAAACCGCGTATCGAAGGATATTCGCGATTTCACTCCATCATGTTATTTTCTCAGATCTTCAGATTTCTGATTTTGCACGTCTCAACTAAATCTCGATATCCCCATTCATTGAAGCTGGGTTTCTATTCATGTCATTGGCATGCTTAAATTCGCCGCCACGTACATACCGTCTCTGAAGCCCTTCGGGGCCAAACATGGACGTGATGTTCTTCCGAAACGTTATACGGATTAACCTCCTATAAGACCACATCACAACCTAGAGGACAACAATCGATATGGTTAGGTTTCAGGTCCGCACAGTTATCTTCTGGGATGTTTCGCTATGTAGTCTGGTAGATACTGACTCGACGTTTCAGAGGTGCATACTGCCTCCATCACCAATGATGAGAAATTAAACAATAATTACGCAACCATATGCCACCCTCGCCGTACAAAACATCGCTACCATACCTCAGGCCTGTGATTTGTTTCGTCAGATAGCCTACCAGCTCCAGAACACAAGCTGCTGTGTGTGGATATTCGGTTTAAGATACAGCCCTGTTTACGATATAAGAAATTACATCATATTTTACAACAGTGCAATGTAATTCTGTCAACGGTGGTCGATACCGTGAGGTATATACAGATATATATGTGCCTATTAAACTTTTCTTTCATTCATTTTTTCTCTTATTTTCCTTTCCTTTCTTGCATTCTACGAAGAAGTGATTCTGTCTTCGGTGAAGGATTAAGACACATAATAATCGACATGTATTCGTGTCAGAAGAATCGTGGGTTTCAGCACACTTTACTGAGTTTTCCTTAAGATTCCACTGGAAACTTCGTCTGTCAGTTTGGTTGGTATTCAGACGCATGACACATGTAGAAACTGGCATATTTTTTTCATTAGTTTAAAACTGTCTAGATAACATCTGACTGCTATGAATTGTGAAATTCTTATGAGCAGGAAGTATTAGTCAGGCGGAAATCTTAGCATTTAAGAGCATTATAAAAATGTTATTCAAAACATTCATGCCACTAACATTTCCTCCCAACCCCGTATATTTCTCTCTAGTGGTCTTTTCCCTTCAGGCGTTTCCACTAGAATTTTGCGTGCATTTTTAATCTCTGCCGTGCATGCTGCATGCCCGTCTATTGAAATAATCATCTCTTTCATCTGTCTTATGTTAACCATTACTCGTCCAAAGGGATAACACATTATAGAAGTGTCGGTACTGAGATTTTCATACGACTCAAGGTCACCCGCCCTACGCACTGCGCTAGCCTTCTGAATTTCTGAACGAATGCGTCACGTTGTACTGAAGAAGAAAGAACTCAGAAGAGATTTTGGACGATACTGATACTTTCAACGCGAAAATGATCATTGTTGTCATCATAATCACGATGATGATGCCGGCAGTGTTGATCGAGGAGAAACCGACCACACCCATACGGTGTTGCCAACTCTTGAAACAACGGGTAGGGTTCATGGATCAATGCGGCGACGGTCAAACACACCCCAGCCTCCTCCCCTGAAGAAGTAAAATTGTTTCTGTACACACTTCCACACATTAGCACCACCTCGTTATTAAACCAAGTTAGGACGGACAGGAGCTTAACTGTCTGTGGAAAGTAAATTGGATGGTATTACGGTACGCTTTTGTCTACTAATTCTCCTTTCGGGTGAATTCATTGGCGTTTCTACCCTCCTTAATATGAAACGAATCATACGATTGTCTCAAAGGCAGCAAATACGACGTAACAAAAAAGAATAAACAAGACGTGAGTTATTTGGCTTCATAAGATGTCGACTGTCGAACTGTTTCAGTGCTAACGCTGAGATATTTCGAAGATGACTGTCTTCTGGGATGTTGCGCCGTGTAGTCTGGTAAAAATTTGCTGACGTTTCAGAAGATAATCGTCTTCAAACTCGCCTCGTGAGTACCTGATCTGCCACCCGAGATATTTCGTTCATGGGCTGGATTGAACTGGCGTAGGGTAGGGGCCTGTGGCGGCTTGTTACGAACTGGCGGATTGAAAAAAAAATACGGTAATTTCTTAAGCAGCTGAGCGACAACCAACCTAAAGACCTTGCACCATGGAGATACTGGCAGTATAGAAAATGTTATTATCAACTTGGAGTTTAAGAAAGCGAAAAAGTTAGTAAGTAAGTAAGCGCGCGCGAGTGTGTGTGTAGAAAGCATCAATAGGCCGCGTATTCGGGACAAACACGGGATGTCCTTCATTGGGCCGTCTGGTGCCCGCGGGCCACAGTCATGAGGCTCATTTGTAAGCATTTCACGTTTC